TTTAAATGAACAGAAATGTATATTACCTATCACTCCTGGTACATTACAGTATTTTATACATTTATAAATTATATATAATATCTATACGTTTCAAATGGATAAATCTGTAATATATAAAAATAAACATATTTGTCATATCATTTATTGATTTATATATTTACATATAAATGTAAAGTATAATATTATATAACATGAACATAATTTAATTCACTTTATTTATAATTATTTTATATATTTATAAATTTGATTAATTAAAAATTATAAAATTATATATTACATATCATATATTTTAATATTTTAACAAATAAAAGTAAAAAATATACAATAAAATGCTTTAGTGTGTATACCAGTCGCCACTGGTATACACACACTCTCTCTTACATGCACAGGCCCAGGACCCCTGTCCCCTTGAGGCCATCTGCGGGCCGATAAGATGCTATCAGTTGGCCCTTAAAGCACTTGAGATCCACTTTAGGAGATCACTGGGGCAATTACCATGAAAAGTAAAAGATACTGCCTATATTGATGTTAGATTAATACTGACCACCTCCCCATTGATTTTTCTTCTTCCTCTAGCACAGTCTTACCCCATCTTACGCTAGCGGTGATCTGAATTTCTGATGCTAACATTGTTTTATGGGACCGTCTCTCTTACGCGCCGCCACCCCGATAAACCTTTCGTTCCATCGTGCTATCTATGGTTTCAGAGGCCGATCTAGAGAGGGAACCTTATCGGCTGATGTTATTCAATTGTCCCACGCTGATCAGGACCATTAGTGCTTGGTGCTAAATAATGCATCCTGTTTTAAAAGGCCCCTTATCTGGCCACTGTTTGTTTCTAACATTATTAGTATCGGAAGGGTAATGACAGTAAAAAGGACGATATGAACTGATTGACAGAGCTGGGACGTCTAAAAAGGACGCTGTCCATTTGGGAGGAGACATCGAGGTTTATCTTATTGTTATTCAAAGGGCAACAATCCACCAGGGGAACCTGGAAGGCGATTTAAATGCGACTAATTTAAGTGCCTCTGATGAATCTACACACACTTTTTCGCTATCTCTTGCGCTCTGTTTTTCTTAGACATACAGTCTGTTGCTATGAGACAGATGTATACGCCATACTGGCCTCTGGTCCTTTCCAGCTCTTATCGCTGAAATTATGGGATGGCAGAAAGCCATTAAAATTCTGCTTAGGTTTCACTAAATAGCTGCAACCGTGGTAACTGCTGCATCTTTTAAGGCTACCTATCACAATATCAATCAGATGTTGTCCAAATATTCACACTTTCAATTAATGACCATTTATACTGTGAAAATAGCTAATAAAACTGATTGATCGGTGGGCCTTCTGAACACCTAGTCTTGTTAAATTAGACTGGCTTAGGAAAATCTCAATCAAACACATTTCTTAGTTTCTTAGCGCATAACGCTAGCAACACCTAGGTCATAGGTTTAATTCCCAGGGAATAAATAATCGTATAAAATGTGTGCCTTGAATGTAATTTAAGATGGTTTGGATAAAAGTAAAAACAATTGAAATTTCAGTATTTTTAGCATACTGTGCAAAAAATGTAACTGACAAATTAATATAACTTAAACCGACTAGCCTCACTAATAAACAAGCCAACCAGATGACTAATGGAAAATCTTGGCTCATACTTTGTGCGTTTCATCTTTCATAAAACTTCCCTTTTGTTGTTTGAATTTATACAGAATCGTCACTTTCCATTTGCACTTGGCACAGACACTCAAAGTTGGTCTTCATCTTAAAATTTCTGAGAGTCAGACAGTAAACAAACAAGCTGGTAAGACGAATTGACTTTGATTCAGCAGTTTCGTTCACAGGAACAGTTCCTGGCATCAAAGTTAAGATAACAAATTTCTCCCTCAGGCCACTGTGTAGGCAAACAGTCATCCTGGATACACGTTACAAATATGGATAATTTATTGTTAACAAAAACAGAAAACAATGTTGTTGTTGATGTCTAATGATGCCCCAGCATGAATGTAAGATACATTTGAGATGACATTTAACATTGTTTGCTTCAACAAAAATTACTACTACTATTGCTCATACTCAGGGTTATACGTTTTTTTGTTATTTTTTTAATTGTGTCACTTGTTCCACACTATTGGTGCTATGAACAAGAATTATTTCTCAAATCATATGCCTTGTTTATGGAGAAGGGTGCTGTTGCTTTTCTAAGTAATCGGAAGTGCTGTTTTTACTTGGAGGATGACAAAATCCAAACCAGATTCATTGGAAAGATGTGTCTGTTGCAACATTTCTGCAAAATGCAGTATTATGTTGCTTCTTGCACTTTCAAAGTGAAATGTTTTGTAAATGGCATTCAGTTTTCTCTGAAACTGGTCTTTTTTATTTTATTATTATTATTTTTTTATTATTATTACTTTGTTTGATGTACTTATCAAGGCAGCTGGAAAATGTCCAGTGGAAAAATGGAAATGTCTGGTGAGTGGCGCTAAAAGGTTAATGCTTTATAATGTAGCACCTACATTAAATCCTTGAAAACTGTTTACATAATTTCATTGAAATGCACAACCTTCTAGTTGACAGTCATTATGGTTTTAGGTCAAATAGATCTACATCTTTGGCACTAATTGAACTTATTGAGGAAATTACAAATGGTATAGATAAGAAGAAACATGTAGTGGGAATTTTCATAGATTTAAAGAAAGCATTTAACACTATAAATCATGACATTTTGTTACATAAACTAGAGAGGTATGGTATTAGAGGGGTGGGATTGGACTGGGTGAGGAGTTATTTAAGAAATAGACAACAATTTGTAGAAATTGGTGAACATAAATCTTCATATATGAACATAACTTGTGGTGTACCGCAGGGATCAGTTTTAGGTCTAAAATGGTTTATAATTTATATCAATTACATGTGCAGTGTATCAAGATATACTAAAATGTATTTATTTTCTGATGATACAATCCACAATAAGAAAAGGTTGTAGTGCCAAACACTCGTCCAAAAATCCAGTAGGCAAATAACATAGGGTGCGTAGATCCGAAATATACAATAATATAGAGATGAAAGAGATCCGCACTTGTCCAAATTCAGCCAAAAAGGCTTATTACAATTTTTGCACAGAGCTCACATTTGCTGATGATACAAATATTTTCTGTTCTGGGGACAATTTACAGCAACTTTTGGAGGTGATTACAATTTAATTAAAATTAATTAATAAATTAAATTAATTAATTTAATAAATTAAAACAGTGGTTTGATGTAAATAAATTGTCATTAAACATAAGCAAAACAAAGATTATGTTATTTGGAAAATATAAAATAAACCCTAAAGTAGAATTTAAAATTGTCAACATAAGTATAAAAACAGTATATGAAAATAAGTTTCTTGGTGTGATTTTAGATCACAAAATCTGCTGGAAACCTCAAATAAAACGTCTCAAAGCAAAAGTGGCAAAGACCATAGCAATACTGAATAAACCAAGACATATTTTGGACAATAAATCAATGCATGTTTTGTATAATACACTTATATTACCGTATTTGAGTTATCGTGTGGAAATTTGTGGGAACACCTAAATAACTGACTTACAGTCGATATGCATATTACAAAAGAGAGTAATTAGAATTATCAATAACGTGGGACACTTGGAACAGACAAATTCTTTATTTCTAAATTCAAATATATTGAAGTTCATTGATTTGGTTAAATTTAAGACGGCACAAGTCATGTTCAAAGCAAGAAATAATTTACTTCCAGGAAGTTTACTAAATATTTTTATGGAAAGGCAGGGTGGGTATGATTTGAGAGAAGAATTAAACTTTAAAATGCTTAAAATAAGAACAACTCTAAAAGGTATGTGCATTTCGATTTGTGGGGTGAGGTTGTGGAATGGTTTGGAGCAGGTGTTAAAACAATGTTCAATTATTAAAGAGTTAAAAAAATGGTATAAAAGTATTTTACTAAAAAGGATATTGGATGAATTGAGGTGATTGTGAATGTGGGTTATAATGCTGATGGGATTGCGATGTATCGTTATAGGGTGACGGGTTGTTTGAAATAAAACATTTGGTTGGTGTTTAATTATTGCTACATTTTTATTTTATAAGGAATATATAATGATATAGAGGAAATTGATTTAGATATACTGGAACGATATGGAACTGTATAAGGGGTGAGAAAAATAATAAGCTTTTGCTTCATCCCGCTCCTTTTCAGACTTGTTGTGATTATTGCTTGCAGCATTTGGTAGATGTGGGTTTGCCTATGTTATGTTGCAACACATTTATTGCGTTTGTATATTTTATATACTGTATATATATATGCCAATGCTGTATACAGTGTACAATATACAATGCTGTACCAGGTGGGCTACCAAGCAAATTTACCATGACTGAAAAGCCATATATATTATGGAGATGATTATGTGATGCAAACGTCAAAATGTGTTAGTTTACAAATAATTTACTATGATAAAAATGTTTTTGGGTCAAAACATTGTATTGCACAAGTGCGCAAAAATATATTTAATTAATCAAAAATCTGCCCTGTAATCATAATTTATGTGAAAATAATTAAAACTTATTGGTATCTTACTGGCACTAGTATTCATTTCAGCTGGAAAGTGTATTGTAAATTGTATGTATATGTGTGGTTTTGTAGTTTTGCAAATAATGTTAGTAGAGGCACGTTTTTCCAATGAGCCTACTGTATGTTGAAAAAAAAATCCCATATACTTAAAGGAGGGACACAACAAAATTTAACCCGTAATTGGGTGTGGGCTCTTTTGACTTGGACAAGTAAGCAACCATCTAGCAACCACCAAGAATACCTTAAAAACCACCTAGCAATGCCCTGGCCACCACTCCGAGCATCTTCATTTAGTGTGTCTGCTATGCACCACTACAATTTCTTCAGGAAAAAAAAAAAGATTTTTGATAATCTTAAAGAGAATGTAAGATGATCCTTTTGAAAAAGAGAACACATTTACTCGGGGCAACACAAACATGATTATTACAAGCATGTGTGTGTGAAAACAAGAAATGCCAGCTAACGCTTTGTCTTTTCCATTTGAAGCTGGCAGCGGCATCAGTTACAGATCCAGTCCATAATCCATCTGTGTCCCACTCACCCCTCTCAGTGTAATCAGGGCACTAATTCAAATTTGCGAGGAAGACAATCCGTGACGGACGTTTTTTGTGCAACTCCAAGTGGTGTCCCCCATGACCGGCGGAAATGTGGTGCAAAACTGTCTAAAGGAGGAAAAAAAGACTGTGAATTGAAAGAACACCAATGAGCACTTACAGAAAAGGTAACGACATGGGCATACACAGTGAATTAAAGTTACCCGAGCACTTAGGACTGCCTAATATAAAATAACACCTCGTCTTCTACAAAATCATCATTCTCCGCCTCATTTCATCTATCTGCGGGGGAGAATACACCCCAGGCGTGTAGGGTAAAATAAAGAAGACTATCCTCCACAGCCCTCAATTATGTGTGGGTGAGAGGTAATAGTGAGGAAGAGGTTTCGGATAAGGTACTGTGCTCCCATGCTCCTTTTCTCTGCCGGCAGCCAGCCACATCTCTGCCACGGTTTAAGGCAGTGTCGAGTTACGGCTCAGCAAACCACGTTATTGCATTTGCAGCCTCTTTCCTCTCATAAGCCTCCACTGCAGCTAATTAAGACGAGCGCGGACTCATCAGAATAATACACACCTTACAGAGGAAATAGAGGGATTCTGAGAAAGAACAGAAAAGATAAATTCTTTGTGGACATAATCTGTTCCCATTCACTCTTTCATGTATTTGCTGTACATTTGACTGCACTGTTGACATTGTCATGCACGTACTCAAGAGAAACCCAGGCTATAATCTATTTTAATACAGGTGACAACACCCACCATTTCCCATATGGCATCTAGGGTTGCCAGGTTTGCGTAATAAAACCATCCCAATTGGTATTCCAAAATCCCTCCAAAATCTTGTTCCGGGAGCTCAAACCCTCCTTCCTTCTTGGTCGAAATCATGTTTCGTATATGCGGGGGGTTTCGCTTCAACCTGCAGACTAAAAAAAAACTGAATCTGCGGCAACAAAAACGCACTTGATAACACTGATGGCAACTGGGCTTACAGCTTAATGTTTTGTCAGTTGCTCACCTGAAAAACACTTGCAATGGATTTTATCTTAATGATCTTATTTTTCTTTACTTATTGTGCAGATATATACTGCAAAAAAATTATAATAATTAAGTTTGGGTTTCCAATTTTAAGATCCAAGTTTCTGGGCAATACTCTGTGGTAGCTAAAGTGTTCTGAATGGTTTTCAGCACCTTGCTATGTGGTTCAAGTTGTTCTGGGTGACTACTAGGATATTGCTATGAGGTTGGTACGGTGTTCTGAGTGGTTTTTAGAAAATTGCTATAAGGTTTGTAGCATTTTTGTTGTTGTTGTTGTTTCCACCAAACAAGCTAAGTGCAAATCACGCTCTGCAGCCGATTTCATTGGTCAACTCAATCACACAGTGATCTGTCGAGAAAAGGTCAGACTTTATTGACTCTGTTCAAAGTTCAGAAATATCATGGATGGATCCAACTGCGATAACAGTAATGCTATCTGTCGGGATGTGCTTCCAACACTGTACTGAGATTAAGGTCAGGGTTTAGGTTAGGACTATGGATTAGTATTTATTTTAGAGTTGTGCATGCAATTAGCAATGGGATTGACATGACCAATGAAATCTTTAGTATCGGCTGAATTGCTTTGAAAAAAAAATAATAACAATGAGAGTTTCATAAGATGTTATAGGTTATAGCAAAATCATTTCTAAGGTGTTCAAAGTGATTCCTTGGGATTGATTCTTGCATTGACATTTATTCATTTGGTAGATCATTTTATCCAAAGCTTATATAAATTCTTGCATTATCTGGGCTTTAAACCCAGGACCTAGCACGCTAGCACCATGCTTTACTCTTTGAGCTACAGTAATGCTTGAAAACTGTATGATTAAAGAACCAAACTCAAGCTATTTGTGATAGCCATGAATCACACCTGTAACCATACTTGACCAACATGAATTGTAAAAATAGTGATCCCTCTTTCAAATGCAAGTCTGTCTTTTTGTTCTTTTTTTTCAGCTAATTACTTATTCATTTTGCCAAAATCATAAGCATGTTCGCTTATAGAAGTAATAACAATCATGTCCTCAACAAGCTGCATGATCTAAGGTATCGTTCATTACCATACCACAAACATTGTGTGACAGGTTACACACAAAAGTAAGTAGCGAAGTTTGTTCAAAGTAGTATGAGCAATAGTATCAGTGATGCTTGCCTTGGTAAGTGGCTGTACTTCTTGACATGAGCTGATTGGTTACCATAACATCTTTATACACTACTGACTGGCTACACTGTATCTTAACCCAGGTTGAGCTCCAATTTGAAGCAACTGGCTGCAAGCCTTCGATTAACAAATTATGATGTCTACAAAACCTCTATAGCACTCTGTAATTCCACAAACTCCTTTAATGCTAAAACATGAACCACGCAGCTATTGTCGAAATAAGCCAAATGCTTCAATCAAGAGCATTGCCTCTGGCCATATGAACATTCAGCATTCTTTCATAAATCAGTACTCACAAACACAGCAACACATCGTGAACATATTGTCGTTCTGTTTGTGTTTAGCAAGTGTCTCTTAAAAAGGCATGGAAAAATCAGATATATTGCTCTATGGGAGTAATTTATTTATTTATTTATTTTTGGACTTTTGGAAGTCATGGAAAATCATGATGAAACTTAGATGGTTTGGGAAACCAAACATTTTCTATTTAGAATAAATACATTAATACATTTTTAAAATGCAGTTGGAAACATACTATTAACATGCAATTAACATGCTATTAATGTGTTATTAACAATCAGCTATGCACAATCAGCATTCATAATAAAAAGGTACTGACTTATATCTACATATAATAAAAGATCACCTCATTGTAAGGAGATATTATGTCATTTTGAAGATAAAGTGAAATTCAGTTAAAGGGGTCATATGGTGTGATTTCAATTTTTCCTTTCTCTTTAGAGTGTTACAAGCTCTTGGTGCATAAAGAAGATCTGTAAAGTTGCAAAGACTAAAGTCTCAAATCCAAAGAGATATTCTTTATAAAAGTTAAGAGTCAGCCACGCCTACCTAAAACGGCTCGTTCTAACACGCCCCCACATATCTACGTCACTATGTGGGAAGATTTGCATAATGCCGCCCAAATGTTCACGCAAAGAAAGAAGGCGTAACTTTTATTCTCGCTGTAGTATTGTTGTTG